CACTTAAAACAATTTTAAGGGCAAGAGAGATCTTCCTCCTGAAATTGTACTGGGGACTGACATTCCCCAACGCCAAAAGGCCACACCTGCGTGAAGATTCTACGGCCATGACTACTTCATATTGTAGGGGGTTAGAAGGTAACAGATGCTGTGCCAAATCACCACGAGCCGCCTGCAGCCTCTGAATAGCAGCCATTCCTGGCCCAAATCTGTGTCTGTTCTAGTTTCCTTTTGGGCATTACAGGGAACCTCTGGCTACACATTATCTTTACAAATCACCCATTTGCACCAACTCCGAAGCTAACGATGCCGCCAGATAGCATCTGAGAGCTATCTCAGGGCTCTCCCTTGTTTGGTCATCCTCGTCTGCTTCATGCTGCAGTGATAAAACACCACGATTGAAAGCAGCCTGGGAAGGCAGGAACTCAAGACAAGAGCTTGGAGCTGAAGCCATAGAGAAATGCTACTTACCGGCTTATTCCCTGGCTCATGCTCACGTCTAAGGGTCAGTGCCGCCCACAGTGGACTGTTCACGCCTAAGGGACAGTGCTGCCCACAGTGGACTGTTCACGCCTAAGGGTCAGTGCCGCCCACAGTGGACTGTTCATGCCTAAGGGACAGCCGCCCACAGTGGACTGTTCACGCCTAAAGGATAGTGCCACCCACAGTGGACTGGATTTCCCCTACATCCATTAGCAATCAAGAAAATGCCTCCTAGACATGGCTACAGGCCAACCTAACGAAGGCAATACCTTAACTGAGTCTCCCTTTCCCAAGGTGTATCATATTGACAAGCAAGATTACCTGTCACTCATGCCTACCTGATGTTTCCACTACCGTGGAGCCCTGTTTGGCCTGATATTCACTGCATAGACCAGGCTGGCCTGGGACTCACAGAGATCCACCTGTCTCTGCCTCCTGAGTGCTGGGATTAAAGGCGTGTACCACCTCTAGTTATAGCAGTTGAGCTGGCCAGCATAAATGTGGGAACCGGAGTCCTCTGGAAGAGCAAGAGGCACTCGTTACCCACTCGCCATATCTCCAGTCCCTGGCTTCCTAGATTGTTCAAAAATACTTATATTCTTGCTACTATTTGGCCTTTTCTTCCTCCTGGATCTATTTCTCCTCCACCTCCTCTGTTTACTGTGGCCTCGCCCTAGTTTTGAGACTCTGAGCAATCCACTCATAGAGTCTGACATGGCTAAGAGGCACTTTCTGGCTGGAGCCATGGCTCCGATGGGGGGGAGGGTGTCACTTGCAACCAAGCCTGATGACCTGGGTTCGATCCCCAGGCCCCATGTGGTGGAAGGGAAGGATCAACTCTGGCAAATTAACTATCAGAAGAAATTCCTTTTTCCAAATTCTGACAGACAAAAGCTGGCATTCCCTTGGGGACTTGGGAAGATGATTCCCGCTTGCTAATATAGGAATCATTCTCCCTGCCTCGTGGAAAAGGGACACATGACTATCAACACATCTGATCCAGGCTAGCCGCCAAGCCCTCCACCCCAGCTAATAGGCTCCCTTTCTCCCAGGTTCTCACTCCCTTAGAACCCAGAAGAACCCCCCTTTCACTTCTCCCAGCTTCCCCTGGGGCAGACAACCTTGGCAGTTTGGAATAAATTTTTTTCCTTTTCACTCAGGAAGCAGGTATTTCTGAATCAGTTTCTTTACTGTGCCCTTCACATTCATTGACTTCTGACCTCCAGCTGTTCACCGTATCCACACTCAAATCGAACATATATACAATAGATAAAATGCAATATAGATTTAATTGATTTTTTTTGAAGAAGCACTTTCACCCTCCCCAGCAGGATGGACACTTCAGGGGGATTACCATAGGGCTGGCAATAGACTTATAAAGAAGTTCCAAGTCAGGCGGAGGTGGCGCACGCCTTTAATCCCAGCACTCGGGAGACAGAGGCAGGCGGATCTCTGTGAGTTCGAGGCCAGCCTGGTCTACCGAGTGAGTTTCAGGACAGGCACCAAAGTTACAAAGAAACCTTGTCTCAAACCCTGCCCCCACCCCAAAAATGGCCTTATCATTTGGTTGGGTGGATCTGTGATTAGCTCAACCAGAAAAACACAGGGTAGTACTGATCCCTCGGTCTCCTGACCCCTCTAACGGAATGGGAAGAAAGAGCTTTGAGTGATAGCCTGGACAAAGGCTGCCATCAGTGGCAGACACCTCACCAAGCCCAGACTCTTTCTTGCTAGCTTAGAGAGAAAGTCTGTCACGGCTCAGGAGTCAAAAGAGACAGAGATTCATAAGAGGAAATGGGAGAGAGAGAGAGAGAGAAGACATTTATTACCTCAGACGGTTTTAGGTTTCATAGTGATGTTATTTTAATTAAGATGTATTTGAGGGAAATTCAAAAATCAAAAAAAAAAAAACCCTGGCTTTCCATTTCCCTCCACGGAAAAGAGTCAGCATTGCCAAGCTTGGTTTGATTTCTCCATTTGTGTGCTAATAGGTGTGCACCCACCCTCTGACTGCTCCCACTCCTGCTTGGCCAAGCCCACCTAGACCTAAGCATCAGCTGAAGAGACAATGGCAGCCTCTCACTGCGGTATCACCAGTGAAAGGGTATCTAAGGAAGAAATGGTGGAAACCGCTCATGTAGAAAAAACAATTCGAACTGGAAAAGCGGGCATGGCGGCATAGTGGGCATCGCAGCGTCTCAGGCACTTCCCTCATGAGCTTCATGACTGGGCTCATAGAGCCCACATGCTGGAGGGAAAGAACAGACGCCTGAGGGTTGTACCAAGGCATGTATGGGTGCCTGTACACACACACACACACACACGTATGAAAGTATGTACACAAGAACATACACATACACACTATAATACACACACACTACATACACTCATAATCACACATGACACACACATGAATACTAACACACCATATACACACACTATACACACACTGCATTTATACACACTATACATACATAAAGTCATACATACATACACACTCAGGAACACTCAAGCACTTCATACACACTACATATCCACACACACACATACACACGACATACACACATACTATAAACACACAGTTAAGTACACACAGTGCATACATACATTGAAAAGAAGTTTTAGGGGACTGGAAAGATGATTCAGTGGTTAATAGCACTGACTGCTCTTCCAGAGGACCAGGGTTCAACACCCAGCACCCACGTGGCAGCTCACAACTGTCTATAACTCCAGTTCCAGGGGACCTGACACCCTCATACAGATATACATGAAGGCAAAATGCCAATGCACATAAAATAAAAATAAATTATTAAAAAAGAAAAGCAGTTGTAGAATATACCAAATTTGCACCTTTAATCCCAGCACTCGAAGACAGAGGCAGGCGGATCTCTGTGAGTTCGAGACCAGCCTGGTCTACAGAGCTAGTTCCAGGACAGGCTCCAAAGCCACAGAGAAACGCTGTCTCGAAAAAACAAAAAAAAAAAAAAAAAAGGATATATCAAATTTGGAAACAGATGCTAAAGAACAGCAAAAAAAATAATAAAAATGTCATGGTTGGTGTCAGCTTCCCTGAGAAACTGACTTTTCCGTCTCTTCTTTCACTTCAGTGAGCTCAAAAACTGTGTGAGGCTGGCCAGAAAGAAAGACAAAGGGCCAGAGACCCAGAGGCAGAGCAGCCTTTGTGTGGGAAAGGACTAGAAGAAAAGCTTATGTTTGCTTACAGGAGAGGGGTAGTGGGGGAACTTTTCCCTTTGGCCTGGAGGACAGTTTCCGAGACGGGTTTCTTAGTGTAGCCCTGGCTGTCCCGGAACTAGCTAAGTAGATCAGACTGGGCTGCCTGTCTCTGCCACAGCAATGGGGAGACCCGGAGGAAGGGGAACCCCATTGTCATGACAGCATGGTCAAAGGAGGAACACAGGGGCCACAGAATCTTAGTGTGGAAATACCACAGAAGGACTCAAAAAAAATCCAGAGATTTCCAGGAGGCTTGCCCTCAGATTCCATTCAGAAATCAACCCAGAGCGGGCTTTGTGCGCACCCCCGTCATTCCGTCATTCCTGCACTGCGGGGAGGAGGTGGTGGTGGAGGGGTTGCCACCCCTTTGGGAGTCGCATATCAGATCTTGCATATCAGATATTTACATTGCAATTCATAACAGTAGCAAAATTACAGTTATGAAGTACCAACGAAAATAATTTTGTGGTTAGGGATCACCACAACATGAGGAACTGTATTAAAGGGGTCTCAGCTTTAGGAAGGTTGGGAATCACTGGCCTAGAATTCAGTTTGAGACCAACATGCCCAACATGAGAGACCCTATTTCTTTTAGACACAGGGTTTCACTAAGTAGTCCTGCCGGGCCTGGAATTCTCTATGTGGACCAAGCCGGCAGATCTACCTGCCTCTGCCTCCAGAGGTCTGGAATTTTGGAGGCTTTTTGTCCCCCGTATTAAATTAAATTTATTTTTATTTGTATTTATTTTATTAATTTTTGTTTTTAAAATAAATTAATTTATTCTATTTAATTAAAAAAAATTAGGATGATCTCATATGGCCCAGTTTGGTCTCAAACTCGATACGTAGTTAAAAATGACTTGAATTTCTGATCCTCTTGCCGGCGTCCCCAAAGCGCTGAGATAACGGGTTTACATAGAACACTAGGTGTCTGAGTCAGGTCCTGAGGCTTATTCCACAGCAGACTCCCAGCCCGGGTTTCCTTTTGCTCCCCCGCCCCCGCCCGGACACCCCACCGCCCACCCCCCCTTTTTTTTAATTTAATTGTTGGTTGAGACAAGGTCTCTCCTTAGCTCGGACCCACCTAATGTAGCCCGGGCTGGGCCTCAGATTCACAGCGATCCTAGCCGCTTTTTTCTGAGTTTTGGAATTTTAGACCTGCCCGCCCCTACACTCCCACACTGGGGCGGGTTTACTGCGCCTGCGCAGAAGTTTTTCCAGCCAGACTCCCTGTCATTCTTTAGCCGGCACGGGTTCTGACGGACGTACTCTCCTCAGCGCAGCTAGGTGGGATCCCAGAGTCTCGACATTCGCCGTCCGTGTAGACAAAGGAGGAGCTGAATCGGCTCCCGAACTCCATGAATCAACACACCCCTCTCGCCTGGTCGCCACGGCTGCTGCTACCGGGCCTGCTGCTGCTGCTCCTGCCGGACTGCGCGAAAGCTGGTGAGTAACCCCCGGGCCTGCTCGCTCCCGGTCCCGTGTGCTCCTGCCGCCCCCACCCCCACCCCCAGGCCATCTGATCCCTACTTCGCCGCCCAAAGTTTAAGGTCTGGATTCCGGGGCACAGATTCCAGAAAGATTGGGCGTAATGGCTCACACCGGCCACCCTAGGACCGGGGAGGATGAAGCAGGAAGATTGTCCCGAGTTCCAAGCTATCCTAAGCTCCAGCATAAGGCCCCCCCGATCTCCCTTCCCACCCCCAACAGAAGCTCTGACTCACCCGTCCGTACAACCTTCACTTGCGGCCACACCCTATGCATGAAGAACGTGTGGAGTTAAGTCACCCCGCAGCCCCGCGACTTTCATTCAATTTTTAAGTTGTGTTGGAGACTGAAACCAGCCCCTCACTCTAAGATTAAATTTAATTGTGAAGGGCTCTACCCCTCAGGACGTCTGGGTGCTGTGGTTAGAACCTTGGTCCCCACACATAGCAAACTGGAGCTCAGCTCTGGATCTGCTCCGAAAGAGGGTGGAGAGTGACCGGGCAGTTCGCCACTGCCCCAGTAAGGCAACTCACCCAGAGGGCAGCAACTCAGAGACATTAGTCAGGAGACAGTGGCCCGCGCTTAATCCCAGCATAGCCAGGGCTGCTTTGAAACCTTGAAACCGTGTGCCGAAAAGAGAAAGAAAAGAAGGAAGAATAGAAAGACTTCTATATAGGTCCACCTCTGTTTTGTTTTTGTATTTTCGAGACAAGGTTTCTTTTTGTAGCCCTAGCTGTCCTGGAACTCACTCTGTAGACCAGGCTGGGCTCGTATCCACAGAGATCCATTTCCTTCTGCCTCCTGCGTGCTGGGATTAAAGGTGTTTGCTACCACCACCCGTCAAGGTGCACTGCTTAAGGGTTTAAACCTTGGCACGGGTGGACCGTTGGTCGTTTACATCAATATTAGAAAGTCCATTTTCAGATGCAGAAACTGAGGCCGCAAGAGCAACCCTGCCCAGAGGAGCCCACGGCTCGTCATGGCAGTGCTTGAATTCCCAGAATTTAACTCTGAAGTCATTATCCTTGTCACCCAGAGTGCGTGATACTGTTTTCAACTAATGTTGAGAGCCAACTGTGTGTTGTGCTAATGACAGAAAGAGTCTCACAGAGAGCCTACCGGGATGGCTATGAATCCACCTTGTCATCTGATACCTGTGTGGTATCCTAGCAAAACCTTCTGTGCCTCCATTTCCCCGTTCATTAGTGGCACCTCTAGCCCAGGGTAGTGATGTACACTTTTAATCCCAGCATTTAGGAGGCCGAGGAAGAGGTGAGCAGGTCTCTGAGTTCCAGGCCAGCCTGGTCTATATACTGAGACACTCTCTCAAATAATAATAATAATAATTATAAATAAGAATGTAAACTAGGTAGCTGGAGAGATGATTCGGCTGTTAAGAGCACTAGCTGGTCTTGCAGAGGACCTGGGTTCCGGTTCTCAATTCTCACATGGAAACACACAACCCTCTGTAACACGTTTGGGGATGTAAATCTGCTGCCCCCTTCTGGCCTCCATGGGCACTGCACACATGTGGTGCATATGCATACATGCTAGCAAATTAACATACAAATAAACCTTTAAATGAATTGAACTAATAAGGCCTCTGGTTTCACAGCTTCCGGTGTAGCCGTGCAGGTGCTCACTAATGTGACTGGCATCTTGAATGAGTCTACCACCTTGGTATGTAATCTGATGTCTACTGAGAATGTGACAGTCACCCAAGTAACCTGGATGAAGAAGAAGCCAGATGGCTCCCGCTCTACCGTGGCTGTCTTCCACCCCATCAAGGGACCCAACATCCCATACTCAGAAAGGGTGACGTTCTGGGCCACCAAGCTGGACAGGAATCCTTGGAATGCATCTCTGGCGATTTCCCACGTGCAAGCCGAAGATGAAGGCAGCTATGAATGTCAATTTGCCACATTTCCCACAGGCAGCAAGAGCAACAGTGTCCATCTGCGGGTGCTTGGTAAGTGTTAGGCTGAGGAGAAGAAACCCTGGGGCCAGAGGATCAGGGAGCTAGCCAAAAGCAAGGAGGCTTGGGTTACACCCTTGGGACACGGAGTATCCTCTAAGTCAAAAGATCCAGGCAGGGTCCAGGTAGCCCAGGCTAGCCTGTAGGTAAGGATGACCTTGACCTCCTGACCTTCCAGTCTCTGCTCCTGAGTGCTGGGACTAAAGGTGGCACCACCACCACCCAGGGGAGCATTTCTTTTTAATGTATTTAAGTGTACCAGGCTTCATCCTTTTGGGCCACCAACCAGCTCCCAAATCAAGACACAGAACCCTATTAGTGTTGAGTGCTCAGTCCGGCTTAGGCTCATTTCTGGCTAGCTGTTTTAATTTAAATTAGCCTTTCTTTCTCCTTATCTAAGTTTTGCCTCGGGGCTTTTTACTTTTCTTTCCTTCTGTATATCTTACTTTCTTGCTTCTCCTGTCTGTCTGTTTGGCGACTGCCTGGCTTCTTGCCCCAGGTATGTCCCCCATTTTCTCCTCCTTTTCCTTCTTTTCTAGAGCCTAGATTCTCCTATTTATTCTCTTCCCACCAGCCCCACCTATCCTTTCTCCTGCCTAGCTATTGGCCACTCAGCTTTTTATTATTCAATCAGGTGCATTAGGCAGGCAAGGTGAAACAGCAACAGATCTTTACATGAGTGAACACACATCCTTACATCGTTAAACAAGTGCAGCATAAGCAATGTAACATATCTTTACATAAACAGTTCACAACATATATATATACAATATAGGTAGATATATACAGTGTGTGTTATCTATCTATATAACACACATGAGTGTTTTCCTTCATATATGTCTTTGCACCACCCGTGTGCCTAATGTGGAGGAGGCCAGAAGGGGGTGTTGAATCTTTGGTGTTAGTTGTGAGTACCATGTTGGTGCTGAGAATTGAACCCCAATCCTCTGGAAGAGCAGCCAGTGCTCTTAACTGTTGAGGAATCTCTCCAGCTCCCTCCCAGAGATCATTCTGACAGCTTGACCTACGTATTCTTTTTTATTGTTGTTTGATTGGTTGGCTTTACAAGACGGGGGTTTCTCTGTGTAACAAGCTGTCTTTGCTGTGAGAGACACCATGACCACAACAACCCTTATAAGGAAATATTTAATTGGGATGACTCACTTACAGGTTCAGAGGTTCAGTCCATTAGCATCACGACAGGGAGCATGGCAACCTGCAGGCAGATGTGGTGCTGAAGCGAGAGTGCTTTCAAACCACAACAGCCCTGGCTGTCCTGCAACTCGCTCTGTAGACCAGGCTGGCCTCGAACTCACAGATCCGCCTGCCCCTGCCTCCCAAGCGCTGGGATTAAAGTGTGCGCCACACAGGCCAATGACCTGTATGCTCTTTTTATCTCCCTTAGACAGACATGTCTACAGATATCTGACTCTTCAGGAGCAGGATTGAGGCTGTTTTTTTCATTATATTTTATTTATTTGTGTGCCTATGCATAAGTGTGGTGATGTACCTGAGGCTGTCAGGGAACAAGGTGCAGGAGTTGTCCTACCACGTGGGTCCTGGGAATTTAACTCGGGCTGTCGAGCTTAGCGGCAAGCACCCTTATCCACCGAACCATCTTGCCAGCCCAGAGCTAGGATTTCAAATTGACCAGCCCATAGCCTGTAAATTGTCCCTTCAACACCAAGCATAGTGGCAGGAACCTGTATTCCTGCCACCAAGGAGTTTGAAGCTCATGAGCCCAACCAGGGCTACACAGTGAGATCTTGTCAAAAAAAAAAAAAAAAAAAAAAAAAAAAACAAGGTTAAGGCGCTTGCTTCCTCCTGCTACTGAGCAGCCAGTAAAATGACGTGTCTTCAATGGATCTTGCAGCCCGACCTACAAACACTGCAGAGGCCCTGACGCCTTCTCCTACCTGGAAGCTTCAGGACTTAGCTAAGTGCACCTCCACTGGCGGTCGCCCTCCGCCGCAAATTTCCTGGCTCTCGGACCTAAAAGGAACCGAAACCCCCGAAATCCGTGAAACTACGGAGCTAGGGCCCCAGCCAGGCACCTTCACAGTCACCAGCTTCTTTTCCGCGATGCCCTCGAGACGTGCCGATGGCAAGAACATCACCTGCAGCGTGAAGCATGAAAGCGCCCCAGAGCCGGAGCTGCTACATGTGACCCTTTCTGTGCCCCTTTCTGTGCCCTGTGAGTATGTCTGCGCATGCGCACAAGCCCCAGGCCGCCTCCATCTCCCCGCTTTCTACGCTAATTCATCCACCATTTGCTCCCATGCCTTAGACCACCGGCTTGGAGAGCTGGCATTGTCTGTGCTATATGGACCCACTTACCTTTTCTAAGTCACCCACTGCTTACCCAGCGTGGTCCCCTTGACCCATTGTCTATGCTGATCTGCCCGTTCACTTTCCACTATCCCAACCATGTCGACTGCCTATGTTGACTCCGCCCACAGTTTGACCCTGAGTCCCAGGTCAGTGTTCACACGGTCCTCCTGGGTAGTCTACACGGCCTGGTGCTGTCTACACTGGCTCGTCTCTGCGTTCTCTCCACATGTAGGTAGCTGTGATTTATGTATGGATGGAGCCTCACACTCTGTGCCCAGGGTCACCTCCCTTGCCTAGCCTTGTCGACACCGCCACCTGCAGACTTACTCACAGAGAGTCCAGCCAGGTTCACCCCCACAGAAGTAGCCTCAGGAAACCTTGACTGTTTCAGATTTTCTAATGACCGTCTTAGTTCAGCACCTTAGAAGATGCCGGGGGATCTGGCTTAGTTCAGCGCCTTAGAAGACGCCGGGGGATCTGGCTCAGTTGGTAGACTGCTTCTCTAGTGTGCACCCAGGAAGCAGAGGCCAGATGTTCAAGGTCATCCTAGGGCTTGATGGAAGTACATTCAAGTCCAGCCTGGGCTACATGAGACCCTGTAAAGTCTGGTGTGATGGTGCACACGTAGAATCCCAACACTCGGGAGGCTGAGTTCAGAGCATTCGAATTTGAGTCCAGCCTGGGCTATGATACACTCAGAAACAAACCCAAACTCAGTTAACGCTTGTAATGGATTTTTCCAAGAGATTAATATTTTTATTATTTATGTGTGTATGTATGTATTTGCGTGTCTAAGGGAGATACACTGCACATGTGTGGAAATATTATTTGTGTGTGTATGTATGTATTTACGTGTCTAAGGGAGATACACTGCGCGTGTGTGAAAATCAGCCCTTCACTTCTCCCCTTCCACCGAGGAAGAATTGAGGCTTCACATCAGGTCTGGTGACAAGCACCCCCTGAGCCATGTCGCTGGCCCAAGGTCATCACTTTAATGTGTGAATGATTTCTTAGACAGTCTTGGTGAGATGTTTTACATTCTTCTTGCCAGGCTAAATCTTCAGAATTGTGTGTCTTAGACCAGGCATGAAGCCCTGGGAGTCTGTGTGGCTGGTGGTTACCATATTGGACTGTGGGGATTTATCTACACACATGCCCACGCATGCATACACACACACTCTATCTATCTATCTGTCTGTCTGTCTGTCTATCTTCCTAGCTTTACCTTAATATTGCCCCCTAATATCTTTGGCCTTGGTTCCTAGAAACCAGCTATGAACTATGCCCCTACTCAATAATTTACCGTCCCATATTCTGTCTCTACCAAGCCCATCAGCAGTATCAATGCAAGATCACTTTTCAGGGGATGAGTTGAGTGAGATAGGATCTCCCAATATAAGCCAGGCTGCCCTCGAACTCATGATCTCCTGCCTCAGCCTCCCAAGTGCTACGATTAATACCTGGCTCCTATACACGGTCTTGAGACATCCTACACACCTTCCTTCCCGCCATTGCCTACCCTGGGCTCTCTCTCCCAGGATTTCTCGGAGCCTTGAATGTGCTCCTGGGTGTTTGGGGTGTCCAAAAAAGTCTTTACACACGGAACACCCAGGATGAGCCAAGGGCTGTTTTGGGAAACACACTTAAAGAAAGGACCTGTGGGAAGTCCCCTTCGTGTCCCCTTGACTAACGATGCCCTGGGCTAATGCCCAAAGTGCCAAGCTGTTCCTGCTCAGGAGAAAGCCCTCAGACACTGTCCAGATCTCAGCCTTCATGTCCGTTCTCTCCAGATCCACCTGAAGTGTCCATCTCTGGCTATGACGAAGCATGGCCTGAGGGTCTTACTGATGTGGCCCTGACCTGTGATGCTCGAAGCAAACCAGAGCCCACTGACTATGAATGGAGCACGTGAGTGAGGGGACCTGGGGCTGGCTGTGCGGGAGGAGGGCTGTGCTCAGAGCCCACCAGCTATAGATGGAGCTCTGAGTGAGGGGACCTGGGGCTGGCTGTGCGGGAGGAGGGCTGCGCTCAGAAGCCACACGTCAGAGATTGGTGAGAATACAGGAGCAATAAAAATAGAGTTGGGCGTGGTGGTGGCACACACCTTCAATCCCAGCACTCGGGTGGCAGAGGCAGGTGGATCTCTGTGAGTTTGACGCCGGCTGGTCTACAGAGTGAGTTCCAGGACAGCCAGGACTACCTGGTGAGACCCTGAATGAATAGTGGTTGGAGAGATGGCTCAGAGGTTAAGGGCACTGGCTGCTCTCCGGGTTCAACTCCCAGCACCCACATGGCAGCTCACAACTCCAGTTCCAGGGGATCTGATACCCTCACACAGACATACAGACAGGTAGAAAACCAATGAACATAAAATATAAATAAATTTTTAAAAATATCAAAACAGGTAGAATCATTCTATATTCCCAGTAAAAATTTCTTCTTGTGACTGGGATTTTCTGAGGTGAGCTGATCCAGGCCATAGCCACTAGCTCTCCTGGGATTTTTTTTTTATACCACACCCCTAGGGATTCCCCATCTCTGTGCAGGTTGAAGGTCACAAAGTGCTGGGACAATGGCTTAATACTGGTAAGTCCCTGGGTGAGCCCTCATGGGACAGAAGCAAAGATGTCTGACTTACCCCCAGATGTGGGTTCCTGACTGCCCCGCCCCTGAAGCCTGCCAGTCATCCCGGTGTGCAGAGCAGGAAGTTAGCCCCAGAGCTGTGAAAGCTCCAGATTGGAGGCTGAGGGTGTTGGAGATGGCTCGTTCGGTTGAGAAAGTGCTTGCTGTACACGCATGAGGACCTGAGACTGATGCCAGCACTCACATGAGTAAAGACCTCATCTCTGTTTATAACACGCTCACATGAGCATCCATGCCGGCTGCGCTCACACGAACATCCATCCATGCAGGCTGCTCTCATATGAACATACATGCAAGAAAAGGGTGACTTTCTTTTCTTCAGTGGAGGCTGGAATCCAGGGTCATACACTCTAGGAAAATGCTTAACTACTGAGCCACACCCCACCGCAGCCCCTCACTGGGGGATTCTAGCAAGCTCTCCGCCACCTGCCCAAATGTATAAATAACATATTTTTATTAGACTTCTTTTTTTAAAAAAATTATTTGGCTGAACCATTCTAGAACTTCCAAACAGTTCCATTCTAAGCAAAAACAGTGTGTGTACTCAGGTACAGCCACCCATGCCCCAAAACAGCTTCTACTGTGTTTGGTTAGTCACACACACAGACACACACACAGACACACAGAGACACACACACACACACAGAGACACACACACAGACACACACACACAGACACAGACACACACAGACACACACACACAGACACACACACACAGAGAGAGAGAAAACACACACAGAGAGAAAATACACACAGAGAGAAAATACACACACACAGACACACACACACAGACACACACACACACACACACATGCCTGCCCCTGCCCCTATCTTTTGCTCTGGCTCCCAGCAGCTATAATTTTTCCCCAAGGGGCAATTTCCACACATTTTCGTCCATCTTAAAAATATTTTTTTAAAAGCACTTAGTTTCACAACCCTGTTTCCTCCAACATCTTGGTAGAGAAATTTTCAAATATACAGTCACAGGAATTTTCCAAATGAGCGCTCAAAAAACCCAAAATCCAACCTCAAGGATTCCCCCACTAATATTTCACTTCTCCTAATTTGATGTTTTGGAAAATTACTACATTTATTGGTTTATTTTACTGGGAGTAGGTCCCCAGTGCCACAGTGCACATGTGGAGATCTAAGGACATCTCGCAGGAGCCAGTTCTCTCTTTCCAACATGTGTGTCCTGGGGCTCAACCTCGGGGCATCAGGCCCCATTTTTGGCTTTTTGAGACAGTTTCTAGCAAACCGCAACATGGCTGGCCTTGAACTTGCTGCAGCCCTCCTGCTCCCTGTCCCCAAGGTCTGGAGCTAAGGGTGTGGCCCAGAACTTGAAGACCCTTTTGCCTCAGCCTCCTGCTTGCTAGGATTCCTGGGGTCACCACCAGACCCTGTCCATAGTTTGATGTCGTTAGAGTCTTTTCTGTATGTGTCATCAATTACTTAAGCAGTCCTTGGGGCCAGGTGTGGCGGTGCACGGCACTCCACAGGCAGAGGCGCGTGGGTCTGTGAGTTCAAGGCCAGCCCAGTCTACAAAGCAAATTCTAGGCCAGCCAGAACTACATGGTGGGAGTCATTATAAAAATAAAACAAACCAGTCTGTATTGTGGGATAAGGTGACCATTTTTATATGTTAACCATGTGGTCATGCCATGGTGGTTGGTGACCAGACCACATTAGTCGGTCTCTGGGTACCAGTTTCCAGAGGAAGGAACTGACATCAAAGATTTGGCAACATTAGAACTGGGAACTTGACTGAGGGGGAGAGCACCTGCCTAGAATCCCCCAGTGAGGGGCTGCGAGTTTGGCTCTTTGATTAGTGGTTATTTAGTATGGGTTCTAGCCTCAGTACAAAAGAAAAAAGGGTGATGGTGGGGCACAGCGCATAGAGGTGTCTCGGTGCTTGAGTGGCTGAGGCAGGAGGATTTCCCAAACGCCACAGCTGAGGCTGTCAGACCAGATGGGTGGTTGTGTTTCCTTCTAGAGGGTTCAGGACTCCACACTCCCACGCCCTCCCCTCCCTGCTGGGATGTGTTCTCGGGGCTTGGGCCGTCCTTCAACCCTATGCGGTGCCTAATGTTGGCCAAAGTCTAAGCTCTGGGCCTCACCAAGCAAAATAGAGTTATAAAGAAAGTCTGAGAAATGTCTGGTATAGATAAAACAAGGGTGGGGATTAGGGAAAGGGGGGTGCTTTGCAGTAGAAACAGTGGGGCGAGACCACAGGGGTGGATCAGGCAGAGCTCTCTGCACCTGGAGGAAGGCATTGTGGGTAGAGAACGACATTTACAAATGCATTTCTGTCCATCAGCTGTTGCTTCTGGAAAGACCTAAGTGGGGTGTTGGTGCGTGACTGTGCACAGGGAGGCGAAGGAGAGAGTGCTGAGGGCACTGGTAAAGAGGGGGAGCATCACGTGAAACCTGGGGTTTGCTCTGCCCGAGGCCTGGCTCTGGGAAGTGGAATTGGGTTCGTGCGCGCCCTCTTGTGGCCATATGGGGGAACAGCCACAGGAGAAGAGGAAACCAGAGCCTGGGAGCATGAAGATTCTGTCGGCCTGTATGTGGCTAGAGCTGGTCTGTGTTCCTGACATACAGTGGATGCCCCATCAGCAGAGGCTGCCTGCTCACCATCTTGTCTCCTCCAGGACTACGGGTCCTCTGCCCAACAACACTGAGGCCCAGGGCAATAGGCTCCTAATCCACAAGGTGAACAAGACCACTATCAATAACGTGACCTTCGTCTGCAATGTCACCAATGCCCTAGGTTCCGGGCAGAACCAAGTAACCGTCCACGTTAAAGGTGAGCTGTCCTCAGACCAGGAGGGAAGGGTACAGCAGGATGGCCCCCAGGGATGGGAGCTGGGTGTGCGTGTGGCTGAATGACGGCAGGTCATAGGTCACAGATTTCACCAGTCCGGGCTAGGGTGGGTGTGGGATACCTCTGACCTGAGGACTCAGAAAGCCCTCTCCAAGCGTACTGGACATAACTACCGGCTACAAAGACTGAAAGGGCGGTCCGGTCGCACAGGGATGACTCAGGGGCCAAAGGTGCCTGCTGCCAAGCCTGACCTGAGCTCAGTCCTTGGCACACTTGGTGGAAGGAGACACCCGACTTCCACAGTTTTCTTCTGTCCTGCACTTATACCCACCATGGCCGGCACGTGTGCACACATATGCAACGCACACACATAAAGTCGTATTTTTTAATTGAAAAAAATAATAATTTGTTGAAAACACAGCTTCAGTTCTGGTTAGATCCAGGTGCTAGACCCATGTCACCCAGGAATTCTCTTTACATCTCTTTTTTTTTTTTTTTTTTTTTTTTTTGGTTTTTCGAGACAGGGTTTCTCTGTGGTTTTGGAGCCTGTCCTGGAACTAGCTCTTGTAGACCAGGCTGGTTTCGAACTCACAGAGATCCGCATGCCTCTGCCTCCCTGGGATTAAAGGCGTGTGCCACCACCGCCCGGCTACATCTCTCTTTTTTAAGATTTATTATTATCAATACAGTGTTCTGCCTGCAATCAGATCTCATTACAGATGGTTGTGAGCTACCACTTGGGTGCTGGGAATTGAACTCATGACCTCTGGAAGAGCAAGCAGTCAATGTTCTTAAGCTCTGAGCCATCTCTCCATCCCCTTCTTTACATCTCTGATCTCTGACGCCAGGTGTGGAAGTGCATACCAATAATCTCAGTACTCGGAAGGCTAAAGCAGTGAGAAAGACAGTTTGGGGCCAGCCTGGGCTAATTGCCTAATTCTGCCTTTTTTATGCTGGGTTAAATATCAGGCAGGGTCTTCCCAGGCTAGACAGGGAGAGTGGGATGTCCTGATTGACCAGGCTAGACAGCGAGAATGGGATGTCCCGATTGACCAGGCTAGTGTGAAAAAAGAAAAAGGAAATCCCAGTTGCTTGCATAGCATGCAGGAGATCCTGGGTTCAAGCTGTAGTACCCCATTTACCTGGTTCACACCTGGTTGTGGTGCATGCCTGCAATCACAGTGCATGGGAGAGAGAGTGGAAGGAGAAATGGGTACATGGGGTTATCCTTGGTCACAGAGCAAGTTTGCAGCCAGCCTATGCTACAGGAGCCCCCATCTCAAACAAACATCCCCCTGTAGGAATCGTAAAATGTGGCCAACACCTGGACACTGTAGACTGAGGAAGATGGGGTTCCCCACAGAAAATGGAAGGTTGTTTCAAAAATGCAGGGTTAACTTGAAAGCTGAGTAACTTCTCACCTGCTCGTCCATTTATTTTCCAGAGCCTATGTCGTCAGGCCTAAGCACGGCTGCCATCATCGGCATCAGCATTGGCATCAGCATTGTCATCTTAGTAGGACTCTGGTGTTATTGTGAGTCTCTTCTTCCTTGGTACATTCTCCCACCCGCTTCAAGGCCACTGCAAAGGAGTCCCGGTTATGTGCAGCCCTCAGCCCCTCACTGGGGGGTTCTAGGCAGGGGCTCTACCACTGAGCCATGCCCCTTAGCCCCTCACTGGGGGATTCTAGGCAGGGGCTCTACCACTGAGCCATGCCCCTTAGCCCCTCACTGGGGGATTCTAGGCAGGGGCTCTACCACTGAGCCACGCCCCTTAGCCCCTCACTGGGGGATTCTAGGCAGGGGCTCTACCACTGAGCCACACCCCAGCCCCTCACTGGGGGGTTCTAGGCAGGGTCTCTACCACTGGGCCACACCCCAGCCCCTCACTGGGGGATTCTAGGCAGGGGCTCTACCACTGAGCCACACCCAGCCCCTCACTGGGGGATTCTAGGCAGGGGCTCTACCACTGAGCCACACCCCAGCCCCTCACTGGGGGATTCTAGGCAGGGTCTCTACCACTGAGCCACACCCTATCCCCTTACTGGGGGATTCTAGGAGGGGGCTCTACCACTAAGCCACGCCCTCAACCCCTCACTTTTCTAAGCACTAGCTCTGAGTGCCGCTAAAGTCTGCACAGGAGCCGGTGTTGTGTACAGGAAGGGCCGGCTGACACTGGCCGGCCTTTGCAGCCACAGAGATGCAGAGTGGCCCATCAGTCATAGAAGGCCCTGCTTCATGACTGGCTTTCTCCCTCAGTCACGAAACAACCCTGCCGCCTTCAGTCTCACCCAAGCCAGCTTTCCTCAGTCCTTGTGATCACTGTGTGGGGACGCCAGTCTCTCTTCTAGTGAACTGTGAGCACAGAGGGCTTGGCAGGGACTGTCGGGGTCAAGGATAGCCTCAGGTACATAGGTCAGGGAACAGAAAACAAAACATAAACAAAACAACAACAACAAGGAGAGACTAGGGAAGAGAATGAATATATCAGGGTCCCAATAATTCCTTCAGGGTCCCACTCCAGTGACCTACCTTCCGCATGGTAGGCTCTGCCCCTACAGTTCACCACCTCCTGACGCCTTGAATCTAGACCTTTAAAACACGGGCTTTTTTGGGTGGCATTCAAAAACCATACTCTAAGATGGGTGTGGTGACACGGGCCTCTGTCATCCCAGCACTTGGGAGGTAGAGGCAGGAAGATTGTGAATTGGAAGCCAGCCTGGGCTACATGGCAGAGCCCACTCCTCCAAGATAGACCTGCACTATAGCCCCTGTTTTAGTGCAACAAACGGTGCCCAACGTGGGGAACTGCGTCCACATAAAGCCTGAGAGAGCTTGGGAAGTATTCTAGACAGAAAAGAATAAAGCATGGCTTATTGATAGCAGCACTTTCTCGGGTGGGCTCTGCTTGCTAGAGGCAAGTGCTCTCATTTAAGAGAGGCTTCCTGACTCAGCTTTGGCTGCAAAATCTTGCAGCTCTTTTAAGAGGTCCTGCCACGAAACACTTAAATGGTGTTGATGAAAAGCTGACCGCATGCTTTTGGTGGTGGGGCCTCATTATGTCAGGGGTTGAAGGGGTGACTTCATCTCTGTGACTCAGTTTCCTCATCTGTAAAAAGGGTGGAATGACACATGCCAATGCAGATAACATGGTTAGCACAGCACTTGCTGTATGGGAATCACGCACTGGGAATACGTTAGCTACAATGATTATCGTCATCATCATTAATGCCCCAGAGAGGCCGAGTTGTCTGCGTTGTTCTCAGCTATATCTCCCGTGTCTTCAATTCCCTTATCACAAAGGAGGTTTTTTTTTTCCTTTTAACCCCTGCTATAGCTGAGGGAACTGAGACACCAAGAAGTTAAGTCACTAGGCCCAAGGTCACGCCAGCCCTAAAGAATAGAGATGGAATTTGGGCCCTTGAGTAAATAATTTTGGTTTTGAGACAGGGTCTTACTCTGTAGCCCCAGCTGACCTGGAATCCAGTACATAGGTCAGGGTACTCTGAACTCACAGAGATCCCCCTGTCTCTGTGTCCTAAGTGCTGGGGTTGAAGGTGTGCACCACCATGCCTGGCTTTATGTTTTCTTTTGTCAGCTTGCATGGGTGTTTTCTGTCTGTGTGTCCGTCTGCACAGCTCATTCATGCAGTTCCCACAACCAGAAGAAGGCGTCGGGTCCCCTGGAGCTGACATGTGGGTGCTGGGAGTTGAATCCAGGTCCCAGAGGAGCCAGTGTGCTTAATCACTGAGCCATCTTTTTGGCCTCTTTTGTTTTGTTTTGTTGAGACTGGCTCTCATGTAAATCTAGGTTGACCTCAAATTCTTTATGTAGCCTGAGATGACCCTGAATTACTGGTCTACCTCTAAAGTGTGTGCTACCTCCCTGGCTCCTCCCTGTCCTGCATCAGTGCAGAGGCGGAAGAGGATTGACCATTCTAGTCTAGACGACGCTCTCTTCCCACAATTCCCAGAGTCCTAGACGCCTCTTCCATGATTCCCTGCCTAGACGCCCTCTTTTCAGGATTCCCAGCCTAGACGCCCCCTTCCCACGATTCCCAGCCTAGACGCCCCCTTCCCACGATTCCCAGAATCTCTTTCTCTCTGACAAGATCTCTCGTTTCTCCAGTTCGATCTCGGCGGTCCAGGTCCAATTCCAAGTCCAATTCCAGGCCCTCAGCAGAGGCGGCGGTGAGTACAGAGGCACAAGGGAGGAATACAGGGGTCTGTGTGGACCACGGTCCTATTTGGTTTTTGGGACTCTCAAGGTATCGGGAAGCCGGGGCTTTCCAGGTGCCCAGCTTATGGGCCACTGGGAGGCAGTGGAGACTTCGGGGAATGGGCTCTTGTGGGAGGGGCCTGGGTTGTGCTGAGTGTGTCTCTGGAGGGGATATTGGGATCATGCACACACAACCCACTCAGGCTTTTATTGTTTTCTGCTTCCTGCACTTTTTAGGCTTGGGGGTGGGGTTGAGACAGTTTCTCATGTTCTCCTGGCTGTCCTGTGACTTGCTCTGTAAACTGGGCTGGCCTCAATTCACAGAGATCTGCCTGCCTCTGCCTCCTGAGTGCTGGGATTCTTTGGGGGAGATTTATTTATTTATTATGTACACAGCATTCTATCTGCACATATGCCTTCAGGCCAGAAGAGGGCGCCAGATCTCATTACAGATGGTTGTGAGCCACCATGTGGTTGCTGGGAATTGAACTCAGGACCTCTAGAAGATCAGCCAGTGCTCTTAACCTCTGGGCCATCTCTTCAGCCCCTGCTTTTCAGGTTTTTGAGATCAGGCCATCCTTTGAACTCACTGTCTGGCCAAGGCTGGCCTTAGCCTCTCAGCCTACCCATCTCTATCTCTCCAATGGTGGGATTACGGGCATGTGCCGTTACATCAAGATCACTTAATTTTTTGAGACATCTCACTGTGTAACCTAGGATAGCCTCTAACTCATGATCCTCCTGCCTCAGACTCCAGAGTGCTGAGGTCATGAGACATGCCTATCTCCTAAGCCCTGCCTATGGCCACTGCTTAGGGGCCAAAGTGCTCTTTGAACACTTCACTGGGAAAATTGTTTATCTGAGAGAGGCCCCGACTGATGTTTGATGTCCCTTTCCAGTATTCACCTGTGAACAACAACATCAACTCTACCCAGGACATAGAGATGAACAGCATTAATTCCCATGACCAAAGAACTTGAAGCTTCAACAACTGGAACCCCACAGACAGATGAAGAAGCCTCCAGAGAGACTGACTGCCCAGTGTGGTGATCGCCAAATGTTCAGGGGTCTCCCAGGACCTTAGTAAATTCCACATTGTCAGAAAGCACTCATGGAGCCCAGTGTGGTGGCCCACACCGTCATTCCAGCAGGAGGACAAATGCAAGCTTGAGTCTAGCCTGGGCTACAGAGCGAAGCCCGTGTATACACAGACAAGCAAATAGGCTTGAGGGATTGAGAAACTGGGACAAAAGCCGAAGTCTTTCCGTGGGTAAGATAAATCCTCTACCTCATGTTGGACCGTGTAGAATGGTCAAGGAGCTGAAAGACTTCGGCCACTGAAATTCAACACCAGGATCTCTTTAGCGATTGAGTCATTCAGGGCTCTCCACTCTCTTGCCAAGGTCTCACTGTTTAGCCAAGGCTAGGCTCAAACTCACAGAGATCCGTCTGCCTCTACCTCCCAAATGCTGGGGTTAAAGACGTGAGGCACCACACCCTTCTCAGTCTCCCTTTTGATAAAGTGAAGAAGATATATTTATTTTTAAAAGCTATATAGTTTTGTATGTATTTTTGAGACAGAGTTTTATATAGCCCAGGCTAGCCTCAAGCTTACTATGTAAGCAAGAATGATCTTACTAATTTATTCTAACTTATTTGTTTTCAAGCGTAAACATGCCCCACCCCCACCCCCTCCCCTCTCAATCCGTTAGTCTCCTTGATTCTCCCGGGACATCATTCTGATTTATGTTTTAATTGCAGACATTGTTTTATTTAACCATATAAAAATCTGTGAACAACAAATGAAAGAAAATGTATTTGTCTTTCTGAATCTAACTCAATTTATTTAATATGATTCTCTCCACTTGTATCCATTTTCCTGCAAATGATGGAACCTTGTTTTCCCTTGTGGCTGAAAAATCCCCGGTGTGTGTACCACCTTTTCTTACCCACTCCTCTGTGGGCGCACACCCAGGACGGTTCCGTGTCTGAGTTATTGTGCGCAGGCTGCAGTAAACACCAGCATGCAAGTGTCTCTGTGATCTAGCGACCTGGAATTTTGCAGACAAATCCCCAGGTATGGCATAGCCAGGTCATGTGGGCTATGGATTCCAGCTTTGGAGGAAGTTGTGTGCTGACTCCCACCATGTAGGGACAAGTCTGCATCCACACAGTGGTGTGTAAAGGTTCCTTTGTCTGCGTCCTTGACAGTGTTTGTTTTCTGATTGGGATGGGATAGAATCTGTGTGTGTGTGTGTGTGTGTGTGTGTGTGTGCCTGGCCCTTCAATATACTTTTAACCTGCATTTTCCTGGGAGCTAATGAGGTCAGATATGGTGGTAGTTTGAATGAAAATTGCCCCTGAAGGCTCACAGGGCTTGGCACTGTTAGGAAATGTGAACCTGTTGGTGTTGTGGAATATTATTTTAAGATGTGTATGTTTGCCGGGCGATGGTGGCGCACGCCTTTAATCCCAGCACTCGGGAGGCAGAGGCAGGCGGATCTCTGTGAGTTCGAGACCAGCCTGGTCTACAGAGCTAGTTCCAGGACAGGCTCCAAAGCCACAGAGAAACCCTGTCTCGAAAAAGCAAAAAAAAAAAAAAAAAAAAAAAAAAAAGATGTGTATGTTTGTTTGTGCTGTGGAGTATTTCTTTAATGATGCAAAGATGTGTTGCGTTCTTTTCTGTTGCATTTGTTTAACCCTGTGAAACTGTGTTACTGTGCCTGTCTAAAACACCTGATGGTCTAATAAAGAGCTGAACAGCCAATAGCAAGACCGGAGCAAGGACAGGCGGGGCTGGCAGTCAGAGAGAATAAATAGGAGGAGAAGTCTGGGGAGAGAGAATCGAGGAGCAAGAAGAAGGTGAGAGGCTACCCCGCCAGCCATGGAGTAAGTGAAAGAACGGTATACAGAAGGAGGAAAAGGGAAAAGCCCAGAGGCAAAAGGAAGACGGGATAATTGAGGTTAAGCAAAGCTGACAGGAAATAAGCCAAGCTAAGGCTGGGCATTTATAAGTAATAAGTCTTCGTGTGTATTTATTTGGGAGTTGGATGGTGGGCCCCAAAAGACCAAAGTAAAGAGTAATAAACAACCAACAACATCTGGAGTGGGTGTGTCCCCGTCACCGCAGATGGGCTCTGAGGTTCAAATGCTCAAGGTCAACCCAGCATCACTGTTGATTCAGACGTAGAACCCTCGGCTCCTTCTCGGGCACCATGTCTGCCTGCACACCACCATGCTTCCTGCCATGATGATAATGGACCAACCTCTGAAACAGTAAGCCAGCTCCAGTGTTTCCTTATAAGAGCTGTCTTGGTCATGGTGTCTCTTGACAGCAGTAGACACCCTAAACTAAGACAGACATTTTTTTCATATCTATATCACCATTTGTTTTCCATCTTTGGAGAACTGTGTGTTCGTTTTGTGAGACCATTTATTGACTGGGTTGTTGTTTTTCTTGTTTAGTTTTTTTTTCTCTTTGAAACAGCGTCTCGGTGTAGGTCTGGTGTCCAGAACTCACAGAAATCCTCCTGCCTCTGCCTCCTAAGTCCACCGCACACTGTGCCTAGATCTTCCGTACAGTCTTCCGTACAGTCTGCTCAGCAGTCCCCGATCCCACACCTACGTTAAGGTCCATGGTGCGTTTGGATTTGGTTTCTGTTCAGGGTGAGATAAAGGGATTGAGTTTAGTTCTTCTCCGCGGTGGACACCGTTTCCCCAGCACCATTTGTCTTTTTTCCAATGTTTATTTTTTAACATCTTTATTTAAAACACACACACACACAAGAAATCATTAGCCAGTCCTGGTGGCACACGCCTTTAGTCCTAGCTCTCTTGTGAGGCAGGGGCAGGCGGATCTCTGTGAGTTCGAGGCCAGCCTGGTCTACAGGGCGAGTTCTAGGAAAACCAGAACTATGCAGATAATCCCTTTCACAGAAAGGAAAGAAAAAGAGAAGGAAGGAAGGAGGAAAAGAACAGAAACCAGCTGGCTATAGTTGCATTAATTGTAGCCCAGGCTGTCCTTGAAGTCACTGTATAGCTGAGGCTAGCCTTGAACCCTAGTCCCACCTCCACCTTCCAAGTGCCAGATTTACAGGTCTACAGACTGGAACAGTGAAGGACTGTCAGCTCGGCAACCTTTTACCAAACCCTGTGTCCTGAGAGGGGTCCTGCTGGGGTAGCTGGGACTGGCAAGTTTTAACTCCCCTGTGAAAGATGCTGGGGTCCCTGCAGCCATGCAGCACCAGGAGGCACAATAGCTCAAATGTGGCTGCAAGTGGCACTTTAAAAGACCTTTGGGCGTGAGGACCTGACTCAGGTCCCAGCACACAGGCAAAAAGCACACTTTCACAAATATATGTGCCTGCACTACACACACAAACACACGAGTATGCCACACTCATATGGGGTCTCAGCAAACCCCAGGGCAGGCAGAGTAAGAACCCAGAGAGGCAGGAAGGAAATCAGCTCAGCACAACTCAGTAACTGGTGTTGGTTCAAACTTCTAGAGTCTGAACATGGGGTAATAGTTTATTTTAGGCAGATTTATGTACAGTAAAATTTGGGGAAATGTTTCCTGGTGTAACATAATATGTGTGCACAAGGAGACATAATTCTATCAAAACTTCTCAAAGCACATGTCACTTCTTCCATGAAGATAGGTTCTGCAGATAAGCTGCCTGTGTTATCTAAAGGGCCAGGGGATGGTCTTGTGTGGTCTTGGTCATAGGATAGTGTAGAGATCCTCTGAACCCTATAGAAAGAAAGGATAATTGATGCGGAAGTAAGGGATTAACCTGTAAACCACCGCTCTAGCGTCTGCGTATTTACTAACACCCGCTGGGCTTCAGGTGTCAACCTTAGAGCAGTTAGCTGAGAATCTCCAGAAAGCAACCTGGAGGGCAGAGCCAAACCCAACTGATACGGCCCGAAATGTTAAATTTTGCTCTTTTAGTTAATTTCTCGTGAAAGTTAAGCACTCACTTAGGTGTTGATCAGATGAGCAGAAGAGGACGATGTCATCCATGTGATGAGTGACAGAAGTTCTTCACGTAATAAGGAAGTTAGCCTCGGGACAGCACTCTGGCGCTGGAGGTCCCAGCTGCCTTTGTTCGGAACGAGTGCCCGATCCGTTTTAATTTTTCCCCATGAAGGGACCATTGAACAATCTATACTGGGTTGTTTCCACTGTGGGGGTGTAAGGTGTTCCGTGTTGCTCGGGATGATCAAAGAAAAACAAAGACGGGCTGGAGAGATGGCTCAGCGATTAAGAGCACTGCCTGCTCTTCCAGAGGTCCTGAGTTCAATTCCCAGCACCCACATGGTGGCTCACAACCATCTACAATGGGATCTGATGCTCTCTTCCAGCACACAGGTGTACATGCAGAGAGCACTCATACATAAAATTAAATAAAGTTTTAAAAAAAAAGAAAAAAGAAAAACAAAGAGGGTCACTCCAAGGTGTCATTCAGGCTCAGAGGCAGCAGAGAGGAACAGTTTCAACAGCCCTGCAAAGGCATAGGAGGTGTCATTCAGGCGCGGAGGCAGCAGAGAGGAACGGTTTCAACAGCCGTGCAAAGGCGTATTTGTTGACTGTGACACCAAGCTTTCTTGCTTGAAATGAATTCCTCATTCCAAAGCCCCTGATCTAATCTATAGGTTTTCGAAGGAAAACATCACCCCCCCACGAGACCTAATTGTGTTCTGCTCCAGCACCCAATGATTCCCGATATCCAGGTGTGCCAGGATCGTCATGCAAAGGCTGTGCCTCTCCTTCAGAAAGGGACACATAGAGAACAGCCACTCTTTTCTACAATGGTTTCTTCAAGGTCTAAGTCCTTCCAGGAAACGACTGTTCATTCCACGTCTGTGGTGGAAAGATCTTTTTGTACACTGTGAAGATGTGTCTCTCTGATTGGTTTAATAAAAAGCCAACAGCCAATACCTTGGCAGGATTTCTAGGCACAGAGGATGCCTAGAAGAAAGGCAGAGTCACCAGCCTGATAAGAGAACAAGGAAGACCTGAGGAGGAAATGTAACAGACACGAGCCATTCAGCAGCATATAAATTAAAGAAATGATTAATTTAAAGAATTGTAAGAGCTAGTTAGAAACAGGCCTAAGCTATCCCCTAAGCTTTCATAGTTAATAATAAATCACTGGGGACCCTGCAGGTGTTACCTAGACTCAGTGGAAAAAACTGTTTCATTCTACTGTTTAACCTCGATACAATGATTCTACTACAGTTCCTCTTCAGAGCTAGGGGGGAGGGGGAAACAAGGGAAACAAGCTAACAAAAGGCCAAGCCCTACAGCTGTGGAGCCCTAGCTCCCTCTGTACCCTTGGAACTCTAATATAGGTGTAGTTAGCCTGGGAGGAGGAGCCCCGAGCTCCAGGGACTCTGTGACCGCTAAGGTCTGGCGACCTGTTGTAAAGGCAAAAAGGCAACAAGTGTTATCTTAAGGGCCTAAGGGGAGGATTTTGTGTCACCTTGGTCTTACAGATAGTGCAGGGGTTATCTAGACTACTAGCCACCTCCAGTTTTGCTTGGAGCCGCTGGCCATCCAGATAGTGCAAGAGTCACCTAGGCTATGTGAGCCCAAGGGCCTTTGTGCTTCCCACAGGCTCACAAACACAGGCCTTTGGGAGACTAGGCAGCTGCTCAGGGGTAGAGCGCTTGCTGTGTGGAGGACTGGGTTCTACTGCCAACACCACAAAACCTCGTGTAAGATTTACTTAATTTTATATGTTTGGCCTGCATGAATGTGTGTGCACTGTGTGTGTGCTGGTGCCCATAGTGGTCAGAAGAGGGCACTGACTCCTCTAAAACTGGGATTAAATATGGTCATGAGCTGCCATGTGGGTGCTGGGAACCAGACTCCTCCAGAAGAGCAGCTGAGCCATCGTCTCTAGCCCCTCCATGAAACATCTGTAAAAGTCTTGTGATCACAGATCCAGCAGTCTCTTGCTACCCAGAGGGAGCTGAGACTACAAAACAGCAAGTGGGGAGGGAGGGGAAGGGGGAGGAAGCTGGGGGGACCCCACAGTGTGGGAGAAGGGACATCGGTTGCTCTGGTGGGTGAGTGGCTCTCAGCACTTGATCAACTGCTACAACTTTCTACGCAAACTGGGCTGTGGTGGAGCACGCCTTTAATCCCAGCACTCCCTGCAGAGGCAGGTATATCTGAGTTCAAGGCCAGCCTGATCTACAGAGCTTGTTCCAGGACAGCCAGAGCTATCTCAAAAAATGAAAGCAAAAACAAACAAACAAAAGAAAGAGAGAGAGTGAAATGAAAAGAAAAAAGGAGCAGAGACAGTTATGACCTTGAGATTCCAGCCTGCCAATAGGCCAAGCAAACCCATCAAACCCCTCATAGAGACTTCAGTGGTGGTGGCAGCAGTGGGGGTAGGGGATTCTGGGAAGAAAAGCATATAATTTTAAAGTGAAGCCATCATGGCAGGGCAGAAGCTGCCATGGCAGGGGCAGAAGCCACCATGACAGGGGCAGAAGCCACCGCGGCAGGGG